GCATATCTCTCTTCTCAAATATTTATCATTTATTTGTATTGAAAACATTAAAAATCCTTTCTTTTAGCTTTTTTGATATATAGCACATTATCTATAGCCACCCTACTGTATAATAGAAAACCAAATCTTATTTCTTCTAGCTCAGTGTAACCTTAACTATTGTATTGTCCTGATTTTTGTTTCTCCTCTTGGCATTGGGCTTCTCTGAATACTCTTCATTACTGAGAGGACACATCTTAGAGTTCATTCAGATTATCTGGGAGTTCTGATGGCAAAGGGGAAGAGGAAAGACTTCACCTTTCAATCTCAGTCTCTTAGTTGGTCTGTGCCTCATAGCTGTGATATTCACAAGGGTTTTTCCAAGTTAATTGCTTTGTTGTTGTTGTTGTTGTCGTCGTCATCATCATTATCATCATTTTAATTTCCTTATGTGAAACAGGAAAGCTTTAGAGCGCTAAATTAGGGTAGAAGGAAGGTTCTCTTCCAGGCTGGATAAGATCGTTGAGAAAGTATGTTAACCCAGACTGTAAGCATTTGATAAGAAGAATGCTCTGGACATATTTTACCATAATTATTTTTGCCTTTCGCTTGTTAGCCCCACAAGAAAATCTTTCAGATCTTCATTGTGAGTACCTGACGGAGTTTCTGAAGATAAAACACTAAAATTTGGAATCTCCTCTCGCATTGTGGTCCTTTGGAGCTTCTCTCTTGGAAAGAGTTTCTCATGAAAATTCTCATTTAAGTGGCACCAACCATTTATGATTCCATTAGCTTCTCTGGACTACACCTATAGGTCTTCAAGAGTTCTACCTATTCTCTCTTCCAGTAGATTTAGTTTCAGTATAATATTTAGATCTTTGATCCATTTTGATTTTAGTTTAGTGCATGGTGATACAACAGTTTCAGTTTTTAGCATGTGGAGAGCCATTTTTTCTAGCACCATTTATTAAAGAGGCTTTCTTTCTTCCAATAAATGTGTTTGGCCCTTTTGTCAAAAATAAGATAGCTGAGTATGTTTGAAGTTGTGTTTGCATCTTCTAATCTGTTCCATTGATCCTCAGATCACTGTCTCTCTTTTTTTCTCCAGCACCGTACTGATTGTGTCACGTAGCTCTGTAGTATAATTTCAAGTCAGAGTTTGTAATGCCTCCTGATTTGCCTTTGTTGCGCAGAATTTTTTTGCAATTCTAAGTCTCTTCTGGTTCCAAATGAATTTTGGGAATGTTTTGTCTAGTTCTGTCTGTGAGGTGTGTTAATAGTTTTTTGGTCAAGTTTGTATTAAATCTGTATAAGAATTTTGTGAGTATGGCCATTTTTACTATGTTGGTTCTTTCTACCCAAAAACATGGGATAACTTTCCATTTTCTCATATCCTCTTCAATCTTCTTTTTCAAAGTACTGTAATTTTCAGTGTAGTGATCTTTTACTTCCTTTGTTACTTGATTCCTAAGTACTTCATTGTTTTCAATGTTGTTGTGAAAGGTGTGGTTTCCCTAATTTCTCTCTCTGTGAGTTTGTTGTTTGTGTACAGGAAGGGTATTGATTTTTGGGTGTTGATTTTGTATCCAGCTACTCTGCTGAATTTGGTTAGTAAGTCTACAAGACTTAAAATTTTTTTTTAAAAAAAGAGGAGGGGCCGGGGAGATATTTCAGTAGAATAAGCACTTGCCTGGCAAGTGCAAGGTCCTGAGTTCAATCCCTGGTACTGCAGGGGAAAAGAAAGTCTACAAGTCTTTTGGTGCAGCTTGGGGTTCTTCTATGTAGACTATCATATCATCTGAAAATAGTGACAGTTTATCTTCTTCCTTCCTAACTTCCTTTTTAAAAAATGTATTTGGTACAGGGTCTCACTATGCAGTTCAGTTGCCTTGTTTTTTTTTTTTTTATTTTACTGTATTTTTTTTTTTTTTGGTTGAATTGTTTTTTAGGGGAGGTTTATTTTTTGTTTTTGGTGCTGAGGACCAAACCCAGGGCTTCCAGCTTGCTAGGCAAGCATTCTACCACTGAACCAAATCTCTAGCCCCTCACTATGCAGTTCAGACTCCTAGTGATCCTGTTTTCAGTTTTCCCAGTGCTGGCATTACAGGTGTGCACCAACACACCTGGTCTTGGTGGCTGGCTCAGAGTGCCTGGGGGTGGGGCTGGCATGGCATGTGATACCAAGGATTGAACCCCGGTCTCTGTTCTTGCCTAAGCAGGCACCCAGTCTGTTGAGCTATCTTGCCAGCCCTTTCTTCCTATTTTTAAAATGATTTCATTGAGAAACAAATAGCAATGAGACAGTTTCAAAACCAATTACTAGGACAGTTTCAATAATTAATGCATTGCATATTGTTGTCTTCTTGGTGGTTATTCATAGTAGAAGATGCAGACATGATATCCTGTCCACAAACACTATTAGTACAAATCTTTCTATTCATTAAATTAAGAGACAGTAGCTGTATATCTATCCTATTTTGAATATACAGATACAAAATGGTCCTTCATGTGTATCCCCCTTTTTTGTTTAGTTTTGTCGGAGATGGGTATTCCATTGTCATTTAAATATTGTAGGTTTGTGAATTCAGCAAAATATTCCAATATAGTCCAGTAGTCCATAATAGGAGTGGGTCATCCATAGAGCTGGCAATGTCAGAAGTTGTTGACTTGAGCCTTTTACAGGTCAGCATATTAATATGGCTTTACTTCTTATACTTCCTTTTTAGACTTTTCTACTGGATGGTTAAGACCAAGATAAAGCAAGACCTATATAACAAGAAATGTAACTCTCTTTTCTTCCTATTTTTATTCCTTTTATTTCTTTCTTTTGTCTATTTTCTCTAGCTAATGTTTCCAGAACTATATTGAATAGGAGTGATGATAGTGGACATCCTTGTCTTATTCTTTATTTTAAAGAAAAAGCTTTCAGTTTTTGATATTTAGTATGATGTTGCCTATTGGTTTGTCATAGGTATCTTTTATCAGATTACAATAAAGACTATTTGTTCTAATTTTCTGTAGTGTTTTTATCATTAATGGGTATTGGACTTTGTCAAATTCTATGTCTATGATCATATGATTTTTCATTGGTTCTGTTAATATGGAGTATTATATTTATTGATTTGCATATATTGAACCATCCCTGAATCCTGGAATGAATCGTACTTAGTCATGATATAAAATCTTCTTGATGATTTGATGTATTCTGTTTGGTAATATCTTACTGAGGATATCTGCATCTATATTTATTAGGGAGATGGACCTATAGTTTTCTTTTTAGGTTGGGTACTTTTCTGGTTTTGGTATCAGAATAATACTTGCTCCCAGGAATGGCTTTGGAAGTATTGTTTTCATTTCAATTTCATTAAGGAGTTTGATGAGTAATGGCATTAGAGCTTCTCTAAATTTTTTGTAGAATTCAGCAGTGAATCCGTCAAGACCTGGGCTTTGTTTTGTTAGTAAGTTTTTAATTACATTTTCAGTTTCTTTGACTGATATTTATTTATTTATTTATTTATTTATTTATTTATTTTTGTACCCGGGATTGAACTCAGGACCTTGAGAATGCCAGGCAGGTGCTTAAGCCTGAAGATTATCTGAGCTATCTTCCTGGGCCTGATATTGAGTTATTTAGTATTTTTATATTTTCTTGATTCAACTTTGGTAATCCATATGTTATTCTTGTTTCCTAATATTAAGTTTATTCCTGCTTTTTCTTATATACTAACTGAGCTTGGTGTGGTATTATGTATCTTTTTTAAATGTCCCATTCCTAACTTTGTTCTTTAATTTTAATTTTTATTAGTACATTCTTGTAGTACATAAGGATTACATTCATTGTGGAGAGTTGGTGCATATACATAATACATCTTAATTCTTTTACGTCCCCTTCTCTGCTCTCCATTTCCCTTGAGTTTAAGAATTCCCAGGGAAAAGTGTTACTTCCCTGAGCTGAGCAATAACTGACAAGGTCTCTAGTTTGGTCCTTTCATTAATGGTATAGCTGTTAGTGCGTTATAGTGGCAAATCTTAGTCCATTCTTGTGTTGCTAAAATATCTATAGCCTCATTTTCTATTTCTAAATTAAAAACCTAAGATCACTAGCTATCAAGAGAGTGAAACCTCAGCTCTGACTAGTGTGTCTTACTGCTCTGATTTGGCTTCAAGTGTGTTTTCTTCTAATTTCTTAAAAGTTTTGCTATACATTTAAAGGATGATTCTTACATTATGTTCAATATGTCTAAATGTTTGTGGTTAAAGAACTTTTGGATTACATAGTCTTCCATGTGTCAAGAAATTGAAGTCTAATTATATATCTGTTGGCTGCCAGCCCGCTCACCAGAACTTCCTCTACACCTGTTGCTTGGCACATGCCAGCTACTTAATGGCTGTTTTTTGAATGAGTGAAATGCTATTATCACAGATTTATAAAAGTGAAGACTTAGAATGAATTTAGTAATAGGGGACTATGTAGTGAAGTGAATTATTATGTTTGCTAGAAAGTAAGTGAATATTATTCATATAATATTTTTAGCCAGAAAATAATAATTTGGAAGTCTATAGCAAGACTTAAAAATATTACAGATTAAGTATAGGTGAATGAAATCAGAATTCAGTTTTGAATTTATGATATGTTAGCTTTAAAACGTATATAGCAGGGGCCTGCCCCTTAGCTCAGTTCTTTAAGTGGCTGCTTCAACAAAGCAATCAGGCTCAGGTTGCTGTGGTTCAATCCCCACAACTCAAGCCGAATGCCAAACCTGCCCTGAGGGCATTTGGAGCAAAAAAAAAAGTATATAGCCTAATCCATTGAATAGTGAATGCTAACATGCTGATAGTAGTTCATGTTGGAATAATGAATTAAGGATCATTTATTTCCTTTAACTTTCTATAGGATGATTTTATAAATTAAAATACTACAAGCTAAATTATTAGTGTCATTGTGCTTTTAAATTTTAGATACACTAAAAGTTGACAAAACATAGATTTCAGAATTAGTTTTATGATTAAAATATTTGCAGACTTTTATATGAAAACACAGAAAAAGACCTTTCTGATACTCAGCGACACCTTGCTAAGAAAAAATATGAACTTCAGCTTACTCAGGAGAAAATTATGTGCTTGGATGAAAAGATTGGTGAGTTTTCTTCCTGATGATACTATTATTATTTTTTAAATCTGGTATAAAAATAAATTTCCTTCTCTTCAGTTACAACTGAAATTTGTAAACTGAATTTTTTAAGTAAACTTAGAAATTGGTCTGTAACATAAGAGTTTATGAATGAAAAATAATGGAAAATGCAACTTTCTTTGATAGATCTTTTTAAACTTAGATTTAGGACCATAGTTAACTAAGATTTAAAATTTGTCAGTGAAGAAAAAACTAAGCAGAGAACAACACTTTATATATATGATCACTTTCAAATTTACATTTTTTATGTTATACAGCTTGCTTATAGCTCTTGTAATGAAGCACCTTTACTGTTTCATTATTTTGATGTAAAACACACAAGTGTGTGGCTTATATATATTTGTTGTATAAAAAAATCACCTTTATAAAGTCGTCTTTATGTTTTTTTACTGGTGATCTTCTTGAAAATATGGTTATAATGATCTTATCTCTTATGAAAGAGCCTATTTTAAAAGAAAAATTTTTTAATATTTTCTGTTATGTAGTTAAATAAATGATATGAACAGTTAGATAGCTGGAGTTGCTATTTATTGAGAAGAATATTAAAAGAGAACTGTAAAAGGCAGTATTGAAAGGGAATTCATTTTTTAGCACTTTGAGACCAAGTAAAGATATAAGGTGAGCAGTTGAATATATAGGTTTGTATCTCAGAAGAGAAATCTAAACTAACTAGTATATTTTGGGGGCACATAAGCAGGTGTGTGATATTTAAAAATCATGAAATCACCTCAGGAAAATACAAAGAATGAGAAGAGGATTCACGACCAAGTAGAAGAACTCAAAGAAGTAGAAGGAAAACCTAGAAATGAGTGTTATTTTGGAAGGCAAGCGTGTTTTTGAAAGGGAGAGTATGATCAATTGTCAGAAATGAAGTAAAGGCTGGGTGTGGTGGTGCATGAACTTCTGTAATCCCAGTGCTGAGGAGCTGAGGCAGAATTGCTGTGAGTTTGAGGCCAGCCTGAAATACATAGTGAGACTGTGTGTCAAAAAACAAAAACAGGGCTGGGGAGATGGCTCGGTAGAATAAACACTTGCCTGGCAAGTGCAAGGGCCTGAGTTCAATCCCCAGTTCCGCCAAAAAAAAAAAAAAAAAAAAAAAAGGATAACAAAAGCAAAATCAACCCCACAAGACTAAACAAGCTAATAACAATAACAACAACAAAAATCCAAGTGAAATGAGGATTAGACCAAAAAATGTTTGAGTCATATTGAATATTTGAATTGAGTGTTAGATGTGGAAGTTTAGAAATAAATGGAAGTGAAGTAGAGGTGGGAAAGGATAGAAAAGCCTCTTGAGAAGTCTGGCTATTGAAAGGCCGCAAAAAATAAAGTGATAGAGGTTTTTTTTTTTTTTTTTTTTGTATTTGGTTGTTGCAGGGTCTCACTACACAGCTCAGACTCATAGTGATTCTGCTTTCAGTGTCCTCAGTGCTGAGATTACAGACATGCACCACTATGCCAGGACTCTGTCGGGCTCAAGATGCCCTGGGGGTGGGGCTGGTTTGGGCATGTGGTGGATGGATCAAACTGCGGTCCCTGCACTTGCCTAAGCTTGCCTAAGCAGGTGCTTTAGTCTGCTGAGCTATCTCGCTGGCCCAATAGTTTGTTTGTTTATTTATTTATTTAAAAGAAATTAATACTAAAAAATAAAGAAATTAAGGGAGTCAGAGAGATGGCTCAGTAGAATAAGTGCTTGCCTGGCAAGTGCAAGGGCCTGAGTTCAATCCCTGGTTCCACCAAAAAAAAAGGGGGGGTGGGGTGGGCTGGGTGATTGGTGGTAGGATGCCTTTAGTTTTGGAGTGGGGAGATAGCTCAATAGAATAAGTGCTTACCTGGCAAGCACAGGGTCCTGAGTTCAATCCCCGGTACTGCAAAAAAAGGAAAGAAATTAATACTGCCTGGCAAGCATAAAGTCCTAAGTTCAATTCCAGGTACAGAGAATGAGAGTGAGAGCGAGAGAAATAGATTGATCATCAGTAAGAATGAACTTATATCAAAAGACTCCAGACATGTGGGTTGCCTTAACGTCAGTACTGCCTGCAGAGAGGCCTGGTACATTCTCAAGTGCCATGCCACACGTGGCATTATGGTCTGATCTCTCTCAGCACTTTGTCTGACCACCTTGCAGGGATTAACTGGTCAGGTATTATCCGGAGGTCTGGTCTAGAAGAGTTGACCTTGGGAAGTGCTAGACTGGTGGCTGTCAAACTTTGGTGTGTGCAGAAATTACCAGAAGCTGATAGGGATTCCTGGACTCAGAGTCTCTGAAGTGGGTAGTACCAGAGCCTTTCTGTCTTTACATATTCTGTGGGTGATTCTGATACCCCATAACCTCAGCTTTGGACCAGTGGTTCTCACCTTTTATCATGTATTAGAATCACTGTGGAGTGAAGGGAGGGGTGGGCTTATTAAAACATTAACTGCTGTTCCAGCTCCCAGAATTTCTGATTCATTAGGTCTGGAATGGGGCCCCAGAGCTTCCATTTTCCAGGTGATACCGCTGATGCTGGCAGAGAAACTGTAATCTGAAACCAGTGTCCCACAGTGAAGCTTTCAGCATTGTTGTTGGCTTGCCAAGTTCCTATGATAGAGAAAAAAAATAGAATCAGACTCCCTGTGATGATTTTTTTCCTAGGAATTTTAGAAAAATTAGGGGAAAAAATCTGAATGTTAGAAGACATTTGACTATAAAGATTAAACTAAATGAATACTTCATTAAATTTTGTTACTTAGCTTTATATACCATGTTTGTCCCAAGCTAGAGGGTGTGGAGGGGGAACAAAGGGGCCCAAGGCCACAGGTTGTTTTGATTTTTTACCTCTTCCATTCATCTACCCACCCATCCCCAACACACATGGGATACCACTTTGAGAACTTATTCTATAGAGCTTTCCTTTACTATTCCAATTCAAAGATGTTTGTGTTTTTCTATGTCTGCACCATTTCAAATTTTATGATTCATTGCAGTTTTTAATCACTAAAAACAAAAATCTTTTTATTTGGGATACAATATTCTTATTTTCAGTTGGTGCATATAATGTAGGAGAACTTTGGAAAGTACTTTAATCTCTTTGAACTGGAAAAATATTTTGTCTTGATTAAAAACAATGCCTTTATGATTATGTATTTAGATAATTTTACAAGACAAAATATTGCACAGCGAGAAGAAATCAGCATTCTTGGTGCAGCCATCAATGATCTGGCTAAAGAAAAGGAATGCCTGCAAGCATGTTTGGACAAAAAATCTGAGAATATTGCATCCCTTGGAGAGAGTTTGGCAATGAAAGTATGTTTTGAGAATTGTAATGGACAAGAAATGTTTAAATGAGATGTTTAAATATTAAACTGTGGCTTACTCGACTCTGAATAAAATAATAGTATTTTCTCAAAGTTCTCTTAGGGAGCTGAAGGCTTAAATTCTGACTTTGAAATATCTCAAGATAGTCTTAGGAAGTATGTGTGCATATTCACTAGGTAATATTTTGATTATTAATGATTTTCTGTCATGAATTAGCAGCTGATATTCACTGATAATAACTAATTTAAATATCAGAGTGAAGAGGTAAAACTCATTTCTTTAGGTTGACCAAATGCTTCTCCCATTAAAATTGCCTCTGTGGCAGTGAACTAGGACCCTGCACACATTGTTCATCAATCTGTCCATCCATTCTTCTAGCAGACATTCTTTGACATGTGCCAGATACTATATTAAAAACTGAAGGTGAATATAATAGGGAGGAACATAAAGATATTATTATGACAAAATGTTACATGCCACAGTGACATACACGCAGCGTATTACTGGAGTTTAACAGGCACATACCTGCTTCAATATGGGGGCTGGGTTAAGGGAGGATGAAGATCTGAGAAAACTTCCAGAATTCACAATGCTTTAGCTCCACTGAAAAATGAGTAGAAATAAGCCAGAAAAAGTTTTAGGGGAAAGGACAATGAGAATGTGATCAGATAGAAAAAGGAGTTTACAGGAGACTGATGGCTCTCATGAAGTTTCCTGGAACCCCCTGATGGTTGACTAAGGCAGAGAATAGGTTGCCAAGAGTAAGTATGGGAGAGCAAAAGGTGAGGTAGGACAAAAAAGCAAATGGACATGGAGGGGCATTATAATAGTGTAAATGAAATGCTGTAGTTGATTATTTTAGGACAAATATCTTGACATTGTAATCCATATAAAAACAAATTAGAAAGGAAATGAAAATAGTGACAGGGACAGTAGTTATGAGAAAAGTTGTGAGACCTGTGTGGGGGCAGTGATGGTCTCAGTGGGAGAAACGCATCTCTTAGGGAGGTCAGACTGACAAGATGTGGGTTCCACATTAGGAACGTACAAAGTGTTCCTATGCGGAAGTAGGAAATAAAGCATGCCTCACAAGGAAGATTATTCACATGATGAGTTTAAACTGTCTTCAGGACATGTAGGTAAAATAGTCATATGCTCTTGGGCTTCTAGTGGTAGAAAAGTGAAGTCTGTAAATTTGGGATAGTGGGCATAATGGAAGCCATCAGAAGGCATGGGATAGTAAATACTGGCTTGCTGAAAAGCCTGACTCATTCTTATTTTTAAAAATTTAGGTTGAATTTTGTTTTTCCTTACATTTAGAACATTTTTGAATAAATACAATTTCCTTTCAAAAGACTAACATTTATAAGAAACACTGTTTGCACATTTTCCTGACTCTCATTTCTCTCTGCTGTGTCTAATACTTCACATTTATTTCATTCTGCTAACTATACCAGTGTTAACTTTCTTTCACAAGGATTACTGAATTTAAGTCTATTTCAAAATCAAGAACTTTGTGTAAGATTTTATGAAAGTAATCACATTTATCTTTTGAAGGACACAATTTTAAAGGTAGTTCTAGAAAATTAAAAGACACAGTGTTCTCTATAATTGCATTTCAGAACTGAACTAACAATTGCCCTTCAATGGAAAGTAGGACTGTTTCATAGTCTAATGTGCATACAGAAATAAATTTTAAAAAGTCTACATTATAGTGAATAAGTTGATGTTTTACTATTTGCTACCAATTAATGATTGAAAACTGAGTAGTAAGCTGACAGATTCTTTTGAATAAGAAAAACCAGTTATTTGTATAAGTCTTTAGTTTTTCTTCTTCCTAAATACATTTGTCATCATCCTGTCTAAACTGAATTGTAATGATTAATGTGAATCTTATGTTCCTGGCTGGATTAACATGCTGAGAAGGAATATTACATTGCTAATGTCGTAATAGTGGTATTCGGGTCCTATTGAGAAAAAAAAATAGGTTTGACGGTGTGTTATTAGATTTGCATTGAGTAATTTTACTTCTCTGATACTTTACAGTGTTCTTACAGAACCCTACTTTCAAGGTAAACTTCTATTAATAAAGGAAAGTCCTTTTAAAGGTTATAAAGTATATTTCAAGCCCAACCAAGTAACGACTTTCAAAAGCACTAGAAGTTCAGTTAGGTTTTTAGAATTTTAAAATTCATCAAATTATATCTTTAGAACATGTAAACATTCTATGTTTAGAAGTATTTTGTTTGAGTTTTTCCTCTACAAACTTGTTCTTAAAGAAGTTTAACTTTTTTATTAGTAACTGTTTTAACTATACTCCAGTATTCATTACAGCCAGATGTAGAATCTTCACATTCTTTCTACTTTAGAAAAGGCAAGTGAAGCTAACATTACTCTAGCGAGGGAACACGTGAATAAAGAAAGATACTTGCACACACTACTGCCTCTGTGGAGACAGGTGTGGTATTGATTGGGAAATATATTTTGCTTTTCAACTTTTTGCTTGGTTACTAAGGATTTAAAACCCAAAAGACTAGGTTAGATGTAGTTATTATTAAGTGAAAGGACAATTTTCTTACTATCTTTTAAGGTTTGAAATTAACTCTAAGTATCTGTTTATAGTTAGATTAGCTTAGGCTGAAGGAGAGTTTTAGAAGATGTGTATGTTATTGAAGGCAATAAAGATATTCAAACCCATGTCAGCCTTGATGAACTCTATTCCTTTCCTGTATCTCTGGAAAGGGAGAAAATAGTTATTTCAATTTATCTTTGGCTTAGGACTAGTGCTTCCTCCTTACCATCTCATGCTTCTTAGTAGCTTACAAGTAATTCAATTGGAGCAACTTTTTAAGATGAGATGGCTGGCTAATATAAATGATACACTCAATTAGTTATTTTCCTTATGAACTAAATTTAGTTACATGTGATTCATCTCTTTGGTTTTATTGTGTGTAGAATATAAGGAAGCAAATGCATCCTATTCATTATAGAAGATTCCAATACCAAACCACTGATTTTCCTAGAGGAAAAACAAAACAGGGTAATTTTTTGAGGGGGTGTCTTTTATTGATTGGTGACTGCACAAATCATTTAGCAGTGTATTATGTACATATGATCTTAGAGCAGACCATGTAAGTGTAGCCTTTGCTTTAATGAGCACAGTCTATATTTTTGCCCTGTCCAAATATTTGCATTGATATAGTAAGCGTTAAAGTGTAGAAAAGAAAAATAGGATATAAGTGTTCAAAGCAAAGTGAAACTCAAAATGAAAAGGGACATTTTCTTTTTGTTCATTCAGTTTTAACAGAAATAATAGTTTAAGATAATTTTCATTTAATATTTACTTTTTAAGGAAAAGACCATTTCAGGCATGAAGAATATCATTGCTGAGATGGAACAGGCATCAAGGTAAGGCATTCAACAAGTATTCCAGCACTTACTGGGGGCAAGGTACAATGTAAGGTAAACAGAGTAAGAAAGAAGGGACTTAGTATTGTAGGTGAGGTGATAACTCTGTTAATGTTCAAGGGAGGTCTAATAAATATGCAGGGAACTGAAAGAGAGGATGCTGTTTGCTAAGCAAAATAAAGAGAAGGGCATTCAAAGCTGCAGCATGGCAAGGAACCACAAGTCAGATTCCAGAGCCTCTTGAACTGCAAGTAAATGAATGTTGCTGCAACCTGAAATACAAATAAAGAACAAGAAGCTAAATAGGCTTGAAGAGGCCTGTGTTACAGACAAAGGAGTCTTGGTTTACCTGTCGGGACATAAGAACTTGTTAAAGACTGACTTAAAGAGGTGTGTGTGTGTGTGTGTGTGTGTGTGTGTGTGTGTGTGTGTATTATCCAGACAGAAGAGTTAATGGTAAATTAGGCTTTAGTTGGGAAACAAAGAGAATGAGGTTTTTATGAGAGAAAGACTAGGACTACTAAGTTTCTGTCCAGGAATGAATACTGAATATGACAGAAGTGTGAGGAGACAGATGGTTTTGCCTCTGAACTTAAGAGCCTTTGAGTCCTTGTTGTAGACATGTCCTGTAACTTCGGGTCTGGAGTGTTATCAGGGGAGCTACAGTCTGGAGTTCATGGCCCTGGAGTCATCTGGCTACAGATGGGGTTAGATCCATGGATATGAATGGGGTTTCTCTGAGAGAAAGGCTAGTGTGAGGAGAATCAGGAGGCCAAGGTTTGAGCCCTGAAAAACATTAATTTTTAAGGGGGCAGAAGAAGAGGAATCTACAAAGGAGACAAAGCCATAACAGCTAGAGGTAGGATGAAGGACTTCCTATTATTAAATGTCAAAAGTTTTGGAATATTTAGCAAATCATTGATGCTTACATATATTTAGTGCCTTTCGTATAGCAAAATGATGGCAATGTAGACACTAACGCGCTGCCTTGGCCATATTCCTGTACATTCAAACATTTGTAAATGTCCTCAAATGTTTTCGTACTAACTGTCCATCTTCTGTCTTGCAAGTGTTTGTTATTCTGTTTCAGTAAAATGTCCCTTCTTATGTACTGTTTGATTTGTGGAATAGACAGTCCACTGAAGCCCTCATTATGTGTGAACAAGATATCGCCAGGATGCGTCGACAGCTAGATGAAACAAACGATGAGCTGGCTCAGATTGCTAGGGAAAGAGATATCTTGGCTCATGACAATGACAATCTCCAAGAGCAGTTTGGTAAAGCTAAACAAGAAAACCAGGTACACTTGTTCCTAGAATTTTATTCGCCAAGGAGAAAAATTTTCTCCTGAGGCACAACCCTAATTTTATCTTGTAGAAAAGTTCAGACGTTAGAACTGAAAAATTTTGTGACATGTATGCTATATAATTTATAATAGAAATTCTCAGACATAAAGTATTAAATATTAAAAGAAGAAATAGGAATATAATAGATTAATATTATACTATAAAAAGTACTTTTTTGGTAACAGTGCAAATTTGCAGTTATGTATATAATGTACAGTTGTTTTCAGTTGTACTCTAGAAGTGATTAAAGAAATATTGCAATGTTTACCAGAGTTCACTATATCTGTCATACATAATACACTATTGAATGTCATACATGCTTTTAAAACACTGGTTATATAACTAAGCTGATGGTTTAAATTTCATGGCTTAACATTAATCACATCCAACACATAGCTACTCACAACCTTGAACCTATGCACCTGATGTGTGTAACGGTATTTAAAGACTTTGCTTAGATCAGATCAGCCACAGCCATACAAGGCTACCCAAATAATGGAGTTCTAATTCTTCTGATCAAATCTTTGCATACAGATGGCATGTAGTTGGTAATATTCTTATACCCTTAAGTGCTATACTGTGAATAAGGAGCAGTCTCCCTGACTGGATTTTGGAGAAAGTACTTTTTTACTGAGTAATTCAATAAATGAGGGTAAAAGCCATCAGAAACATTAATGAAAAGGGTGAATTTACTTGATGGACTATATATTCTTTTTAATACGGATGGTGCCACATGTTTTATGGCACCACTGTGATTTCTTTTAAGAAATTTTTTTTTTTTTTTTTTTTTTGTACTGGGGGTCGAACTCAGAACCTTGCACTTGTTAAGCAGGAATTTATGCCACTGAGCTATCTCCATGGCCCCAGGAAAATTCTTTTTGTAATTTCTCTCTAAACCAGTGTATTTCAGTCTAATCCACAGCTCTCATCTCTAATAACAGTATTTTAACTGGAATATTTAAAAACTTCTCTTTGGAAACTTTCTTTGCCCCTCCATATTCTTCAGTCCAAACGATTTAGCCTGCTTTGGTATCATTTTCTATGTGTTTAGTTTGCATCATAACACCTGTATTTTTTTATTGTTAATTTCTAAATTTACATAAATAGCTAAAAATGCAACACTGTAATTACAAAAAATTATCTGAGACATTAAAATACTTTGTTCATTGATCAGTGGGATCTTGGAATTTAAAAAACATAGATTTTGTAAAAGTGAATGAACCCTGCTTACAATATGGACTTCAGATAATAATATATCAATGTTAGTTCATTAATTTGTTTTAGTTCATTAATTTTGATAAATGTACCATACAAGATAAAATGCTAATAAAAGAGGAAAGTGGGTGTAAGATGTATGGGGGCTATCTGTGCTAATTTAGTAACATTTCTATAAATCTAATACTATTCTAAAATAATACTTATTTAAAAAATAATGGCAATAAAAACAAGAATTTACGAAGTCTACTTTTGTGTACTGTGTTTACACTAGAGCAGTAGACTAAAAGTGAATATAATGTGTTTACAAAAAACTAGAAATTTAATTTTTTATTTGCTGAGAAATAAAAGCTTATAGAAAAGAAAAGGGGTCATATCTTTATCATCTATGGTTAGTGACTGTTAACATTTGACTTTTTAAAAGCTGATTTTAACACTTTTAAATACTTTTTTAATGTATGCTTTTTAATGTAGTTGAAATAAAAATCCCACCACTCTATATGGGGTTGAATATCACTGCCAGATTGTGTAATTATATATTTTACTTCTTTAACTCTTATCACATAATCTGTAAAATGGATATTTAATGAGAATGTACAAGGACTGATAAAAACCATTTATAGTTTTAAAAAATTTATTACAATAAAAGACACATTGCATTAACTGTCCCAAAATATTTCTGCTCACTTCAAATACACTTATCCCACTGATCTTTCTTCTTTCTGAAGCAGTTCTGGGGGTCATCTTTCATGTTTTTACAAAAATACTATACAATGAATACTGCTATCCAGTGGAGAGGCAGGCTTGAAAAACATTACAGTGTCCCCTCAGCCACCTTATTGTTATTCTGTGAAACTGGGCCTCTCCTCACTGTTCCCTACAAGATCAAAGTGACTTTAGCAGGTAAATAGTTTGAATCAGCTTAGGACATCGAAGTAGCCCCAATAGCACAGGTAAAGATTCTCATGAAAGACAACTTCCAGAGCTGCTTCACAAGGTTACATGAATGATGGGATATGTTTTAGAAATGAAAGCGAGTGTTTGTGGGGGGATTAATGGCAACATATGTTTTACTTTAAGAAGTTTTTTAAAAAATGAAAAGAATTAGCATTTGTATGCTCCCACCAATATCAGAAAAGCACATGTCCAGCATATCGCTCACTGTATTGCTGTTGTTCACTTACTGTAAACATTCCCTGCCTTGTTAGAACTCCAAAGCTGCTTCACTTTTGATCAGCAAAAAGAAAATTGGTAACATATATTCCAAATTAGTTTTCTTCTTCTTTTGGGTCATAGATCTAATGAAGGATTCCTTCTGTGGGTAGTCAATTAAGAGTCAGTATTGTAGAAAAAAATGTATCCATGATACATTTTTTGAAAAATTGGGTTGAGGTATTTTAGCCTGATTTTCAAAACTTAGATTAGGCAGCACTTCATTCTATTATTAAAAATCACTCCAAATGTTCTACTATGTGACTATACCAATAGGCAAATATATTATTTACTGTGTCATTCAGCTAATGTGAATAAATATTTTTTATCATAGCAGTACCTTAATAAACAATGTCTTTCACTAAATGTCACTAGATTTTATCACATTGAGCCAAGGCTTGTGAGGTTTCTTTTTCTTAAATGAAATTTAAATAAATAGAATGTTTTATAAATCCCCATTTACCTTCACTTACCTTCACCAGTAATCAAAATTTTGTCTTTTTTATTTTTAATTTTTTGTCTTTGTTTTTAATGAGCATTTTTAAATGTATCCTCATATAGCTGATCACAAATTTGATGTTTGCAAATTTATATTTAGAGTGAACAGTACATGGAAATACTCATTTCTTCTAGAGCTAAAGTTTTAAATCTTTACTAATTTGAAGGTAATTTATATTTCTTTGTTTCAATTAGCATATCTTTGCTTATTAGTAATGTTTATTTTTTTCAAGTATTATCTACTTATGTTTTCACTTTGTGAATTGTCTGTTTGGATCCTTTGATCATTTACTCTTGGGCTATGTTAATTTTATTTATCATATTTGTTACAAATATTGAAATTTTAGCTTTTGGTAGTCATTTTGCATATGGGAATTTTTTGTTTGTTATAGTCAAATCTAGCTATCTTTTTTCCACAGGCATTGTCCAAAAAACTCAATGATACACATAATGAACTTAATGACATAAAACAGAAGGTCCAAGATACTAATTTGGAAGTTAACAAGCTGAAGAATATATTGAAGTCTGAAGTATGTATCTCTCTTTCTCTCTCTCTCTCTCTCTCTCTCTCTCTCTCTCTCTCTCTCTCTTTCCTCTCTTTTTCTCTCTCTCTCTCCCCTCCTTTATCCCCTCCTTTTTCATAATACTTCAGTTACTTTCTCTTTGCTTAAACACAATACCTGACTCCCACAACTTAAAGGGAGAAAGGTTTACTTCATCTCACAGTTTGTAGAGGTTTCAGTCCATAGTTGGCCTGCAGTGTGGCAAAGGGGCTCATGACATGGCAGCAAGAAGTAGGGGGATGATTAAGGGAGGAAGAAGGATGCAGAGCCTTTCAGGCCACACCCCCTGGGACCCACCTCTTTCCACTAAGCTTCACCTCCCAGTATCACCCCCAGCCATAAACTCACCAGTGAACTCATCATCAAGGTGTGAGAATCACATACCTATGATCCAGTCCCCTCCTGAAAGCTCCACCTGTAAGCACGAGGCTTTGAGGGGAAATCTAGATCTAAACCATAAGAATGCCTAAGAGTTTTTAGGAGAATTAGTTTAGTAATTGATTGCACACCTCAGAAGAGATGACTCAAGTCTTTCTTTACTAAATGACATATTCTAGATTTGACAGTGCTAAATTAACTTAACTTATCTATTTAGACTATCACCAGTGTCCAGAAAGATGAGTCAAGAATGTGTGCCTTTAGTTTGCTAAACTTAAACACTCCAAGCAAATAGAATCTTCCTACCTGGATAATAAAGGGCCACTATCAAGGTAGCCTCTCTTGTGTTTGAAAATGGTGAGGTTTTCAGTGATAAACCTGTGACAAAGTGCTCAGCTTAATAATATAGCAAATCAGAATTGATCACCCTGTTATGGGCCGTCTGTTTTGTAGGGCCAGAGGGCTGATGACTATTCTTTGTACTTCTCTGTTAGCAACTGTTTGATCAGGTAGGTGTGTATCTGTGACAACAGATGATCCCAAGTGGTAACCCTGGACTAGACACAGAGCCTGGCCAAGGATGGTGGATATGCCCATGAGGTAAAAGATCTCAGCATATACATCATGGATTGATCTTTCTAATAGGGTATGGTGCTACCTTCTCCCTTACTACTCACACCATAATGGGAAACCCCCAACTTCTTATTTTATTTAACATACCATTTAATATCAGTCTGCAAATATATCTTGAACATTTGTTCATAGCATGCATAGGATTGGTAAGGACTTTTGACAGTTAAAGAGATGCTAAGAATCCTTAATTATAGTCCTTGACTTCAGACTTTATGTAGACCTGAAACTTACTGTTTCTAGGGTGCCAGTAATGTACACACCCTTTTGAATGAGCCAGGTGTGGCTTTTCTTCTCATTAATGCCGTGGATTTAAAGAACACCCAAACACATGAGATAAAGTATTAAAAACACCTAGGAGAATGAGTCATCTATGAGTAAATATACTCTGGAATAGGTCAGAAAAAAAATCAGTGAATATCCAGAAAAGCATTTGCTGTGTAGTAAGTTTTTAGTCACACTAGACACTTATCTTAAACCTCCCTAGTCCATCAGTCCCATTACCTGAAATTCCACCATTACAGATTGGAGCATTTAGGTTTTATAACTATGTTTCCCTCTATCACACACCAATTCTCTCTCAGCTTTTAGCATTCTGGTGTGAGTTTGTTTGTGAGACTGTACTTCACAGTACTGGATGGGTTGAAAAAGCCAGGCATGCATTTGATAGGAAGGAGCTTCAAGAAGTGTGTGGTATTTATTCATTTGGTCAGCGTGCTGGGGGAGTGAGGGAGGCCCCATGCGGAACTGGAGAGGTCCTGAAGGAGGGATGGTGAGTGTCCAAACCAGCTGCACTCTTTTTCATAATGTTGCCTCTCTCAGGCCCCGCACTGCTCTCGTCAGATGGGAGGATGTGGAAAAGCACAAAATACGTTTTATAATTACTAAAAGGGAGGGGCATCAAGGACTGGAGGGTGGGAGAGAGCTTTTTTGTCATCCTTTTTCACTTTTTATTTGGTCACAAAACTAAATTTAAAGTTAAAAAGATTCATGTCTTGGAGAAATTAAAAATTCTGAGGTGCCAGTATGTCCACACCCAGCTACGTTAATAATCTGGCAGTTTTAAGCAACAGCATAGACAGTAGGATCTATAGGAAGTTAAAAAAGGTAAAAGTTGATGTGGGTAGAATTGTTTATGCCGGTTTTATCTGGTAACTTCTGAGCATTACTCCATACACAACTATTATTTTTAGTCCAGTCACAGAAAACATGTTAGGTTTCTGTTAGCACATCTGGAATATCTGAATTTTGAAACCCAAGCAAGTGGGTTAATATACAATATTAATTTGTTAACAGGTTTGGCAAAGATCTTTCATATTAGAAACCACAAGATGGCAATATTAACTGAATTTTAATCAGTTCCTTATGATTAATCTTAATTCTGAGAACATAAATCTGATTTGAAAGGGTTGAGGGTTGAACATTGTTTATTCGCAATTTGGTCATTTTCTTTAGGATTTTTGATAGAGAAATGTGATGTTTATTAACAGGTAGCAGTGAGAGAAATCTAGTGCCTTTTTATTAATTGCTGAAGTTAATGGCTGAGTTTCTAGAATAACTTGGCCAAATTGTAATACTAAGACTTTTAAAAATGTATAAACCTGTGACAAAGTGGCTCAGCTTAATATAGCAAATCAGAATTGATCACCCTGTTATGGGCCGTCTGTTTTGTAGGGCCAGAGGGCTGATGACTATTCTTTGTACTTCTCTGTTAGCAACTGTTTGATCAGGTAGGTGTGTATCTGTGACAACAGATGATCCCAAGTGGTAACCCTGGACTAGACACAGAGCCTGGCCAAGGATGGTGGATATACCATAATGATTACTCAGCATAGCATATTATTTGTGGAGCTAAATCTTTTCTGTAGAAATAAGATACTATTCAATCAGTGCACTCAAAGTATAACTTTAAAGGTGGAAAAAAACTTTTTTTATACCATATGTCCAGTTTACACATGAATTCATATAATATGAATAGTGTTTATTGACATTGGCTTGATGTTTAGCTTGTCAACAATTTTAGGTAAGTTATTAGAGTAGCAAGCAAAGTGAATTATACCCAGTGATCAGGAAAGTTAAGGTTGGGTCTGTAAATGAAAGGCAGGAACCAGACAGGAAATGCTCTGAACCAAGAGAATTCTCACAAGTTGAAACTTCAGCTATGTATGACTTTAGAAGCCAGTACAACCCAATAAAGTAGTTGTGAATAAAGTAGAATACAGTTACCAAAGATCAAAGGCTCAGAAGTCAGACCAGTGAGGAGTCAGTAAGCAGGCATGGGAAAAGGAGGCAGTGAAGGTTTTGTTTAAACTCAAGGAAATATAAAAAATGTTTTTCTCTTCCTGAAGTAAGAATAATTAACTTGACTTAAATTCACTAAAGAGATAAATGAGACTGCCACAACAGATCCTGATTGAGCTGCTGTTTGTCTAATTGCAGGATGATCAGATTTCTAAACTAAGAGTGTGGATAGATTTTCTCAGAGAGGTTTTAAATAATACCTAAGATTTGCTTTACAGGAATCTGAGAACCGGCAAATAATGGATCAACTCCGAAAAGCCAATGAGGATGCTGAAAACTGGGAGAATAAGGCTCGCCAGACAGAGGCAGATAACAATACCCTCAAATTGGAACTTATCACTGCTGAAGCAGAGGGTAACAGATTGAAAGAGAAAGTAGATGCCCTCAACAGAGAGGTTGAGCAAGTAGGTCTGGGGAGATGACTTTCTAATGCTTCCAGGATCACATTTAAACATTTTTTGGCTTTCCATAAGTTAATACCTAAGCAAACAGTTGAGTTGAATTATTTAAATATACAGTGAATTGTGACCTTCTAACCATTGTTGTATCTACTCTGGTTCTCCTCTATCACTTACCTAACCTACAAACAGAATAATCTTTAGTATTTTTTAAAATCATGGAGCCAATTAAAACATACACAAAGTGCAAAAAAGGTAGTTCAACAGCCACACATATTCCCATTCTCCAGATGTGAGAACACTGTATAAATGATTTGAAAAGGATAAAATGGAAACAAAGCTTTATAAATAGGAAGGGATGTATGGATTGAAGGGAGGAGAAGGGATTGGGAAAAATAGAAAAATCAAAATATATGTCATGTACAGGTACA